TACGCCTTTTGATCCCTGAGGGGAAAGGCAAAGATATATTATTTTATTGCGCTTATTTAAAGTTAAGACCAAAAAGTTATATATACCTACTTTATAAGATTATTTAAACTCAAACAGCGAAGGAAAACATGATGAGGAAATCTCGGCTTAAAATTTCTAATTATAAGATTGAAATCGCCAACCCTCTATGAGCAAGCAAACCTTACCTGTGTGAGTTTTGGTCAAGAGGCCTTTGATCAGCAATGGTCGTATAAGCTGTTAATGTTGATTGGGACACATGAGTACAGTTATTACTTACAATTAGTAAAGTTCTCTTTATTACAAAACTATTAAAAGAGTAAGTAAGTGTTGGTAGTAAAAGAGATTTCACACTAGAAATGATTGTACTGTTAACATCAATCATAAAGTCATTTTCTTGTAAAATATTCGGAAGATTACTGTCGCACTTATATTACACGATGTATATTTCCCATACACGGAATGAGATACATGTAGTTATTCTAGTCTTTATTTCAAAGACGTTTATTATTATTATGAAAAAATGTAATATAGTACCTACCAGTTGCTTGGTTAACTTTTTATGACTGACTGAGTTACTCGTTAGTTAATTGCGAAGAAATTTATGTTTCGCTAACCAATATGGATAGTAGGAAATGGAATTTTTCTTGCGTTGTTTTTTATTTTATTAGGCAGCTGTTCCCACGTTATTTTAAACAACACCCTGAATTGGCTCCCTTTTAATGGTTGTAAGTTAATAAGTTCCAGTAATTTGCGGTTTTAAACTTGTGTCAGAAGTGTATTGAGATTTATAATTTATATTATTCGTTCACTTGACGTGTTTCCGACATTAAATCTACAACTGTATTGTTATATTTCACACGTATTATCTTTAAATAATATCTTTCAACAACACAACTCTTCAATATTAGTTACCCTTTTTTCCCCAACTCCTGATTACTGGCTCCATCCAAAGGTTGTCTGTAAGAAATCGCATTCTGCGATAAGACCGCACATTTTTTATTTTTTCCTTCATGTTTTTATGATGTTAAATAAAGTGTACATAAATAAATATCAATATTGTAACATACTACAATAACTTTCTACATTATATGACCAATTCATTAACTTAGACAATTTCTAAGTATTCCAAAGACTACTTCTAACTTTGAATTATGACCCCGAGACAGCGTAGCAATGGATGCACCATGGCAATAACGGACTGGTATTCGTGACCGGACCACCGTAACTAATAAATCACCCAGACGACTACCTGAAACTAAGTGAATTCAGCGAGAACAATCAATCATAGGCACCGTCTGAACAAACAGACTACTCGATCTCGTTATGCTGGTTATAATGGGTCCAATAGATTTGGGCTATTTACTTTGTAAATTAAAATATGACATTTGTGCCTTGTTGTTATAAACAAATCTACTGGCTATAAGATAATGATGCACTACATCAAAAATTTAAATGATATTAAGCAGCTCCAGAATCTTCATACATGATTGCGTACCTCGGCAATAGTCTCGATCCTTCGACACCTATATTTTTTAAGGAAAAATATCGATAATATTTAAGGTAAAATGAAAACAATAATGTTTCCTTTAGTGTTCACTTGTAAGCAAGCTAGTAATTTCTTTTGTTAACAAATTGGGCAATGTGTTTATCGGCAATTTAGTCTTCATACTTTGGAGTGACGGATACCATTGTGTAACATGCATGTGAATGTTTTTTGACCACAAAACGCTACTGACAAAGGTACCACCGGATATGTTCAGTCAAACTGTCACTCATACACCTGTACATTCGTGATACTTTTATTTTTATTAAAAAGAGAAAATCACCAAGAATTTTCGACATTAATTTATTTATTGTATTTTCTTCTTTGAGTATTTGTAATAAAACGCAAATCATTATACGTCCGATAACTCATTCAAACTGCATAAGAACGCAGTACACAAATAAAAACCATGCATATGTCAAAAAATAACCACAAAAATGTGCCTATAACTTTTTATTCTTATTAGCGAATGTGGCGCCAAAATTGTTCAGTCTATTGTCGAAGATAATCGATCAAGTATTAAGCGATCATTGATTGGCGTGAGTTTATTATGCGATACACAATAAAAGGTTATTGATCACGATAATGTCCGAATCACGAACATCGGATGGGCTTGGCTTCATCACATTAGAGTGAATAAACAGCTGACGGCTGACGAATGATCTTTTCTAATTGCTTTATATCGCGGACTTCCTGTAGAAAGAGTTCGCATTGTTCAACATGAGTACTTATTTGAATTATGATTGTGTATCTTCGATTTAGGGTTGTCAAATTTAAAAAAAAAATGCGTTGTAGAAGATGTTATGATCTTGTTTGCAAACGATCACTCTTATTTAATAAATATCACGTTAGTGTAGTGGTAATTTTGTACCTCGAAATCTGTATATATAAAAGAAAGTCGTGTTAGTTACACCACTTATAACTCAAGAACGACAGAATAGATTTGGCTGAAAATTGGTAGGGAGGTAGCTTAGAACCAGGAGACGGACATAAGATACTTTTTGACCAAATTTTTTTTTTTTTTTTTACCGAAAATCACGAACGGGGACTGGGGAAAATAGGATTGCGCGTACGAAGTCGCGGGTAAAAGCTAGTTTTTTAATAAATTCGAGAGCAGAGAATATTTTGCTGTTATTTATATCTTATTAGTTTATGTTTGTTCGACTAAGTTAAGAAATTCCTTAACCATATGACAGTTTCTTAATTGTTTCTCTTGCCTTAATTTTTTAAACTGCTTTACGGATTGTCGTCATATTAACTCGTCAAGTACCGTCATTATAGACACAATTATAGAACAATAGGTTGCGGTCACCGGTGACCGCAACCTATTGTTCTATAATTGTGTCTGTAAAACCGGTACTCGACGAGTTAATATGCAAATAAATGTGATACGTCATTTTAATTAATGTTTGGGAGCCCTACTTCCTTTTAATTTGCAAGCGAAAGCGAATTTACAAAAATCATCTCATCTTACCTATACATTTCGGCCAATGATAAATGATTTTTATAAACTAGTTTTGACTGGTTGTGTATGATCGAAAAAAAAATCTGTTGATAAATATTTATCATGGATAATAATTGATCTGTTTTCATTGCCCGGCGGTATCAGATTGCACACGCTACTCTTAACGTCGGCTGGCTAGATACAAACTATTTTTAATGAAGTTTTTTCTAAACATTGATCGGCTTGAGTTCCCCGTGTAACGTGGGGCCCGTAAGATATTCATTACTTATACTTTTTTGGCACACTATTTATTACCATTACCCATTAATTGAGATGCCAGTATAACATGCAACTTCCTCTTATTTATAGAAATGAAAAATGAATTGCTATTTATTATTTACCATGTTCAAACGTCACTTATAGCTTACTTGTATTAATAAATGTTTTAATAAATAAAACATAAACTGTTTTATTTAAGTAGTTCGGAAGCTGTTGCCTTTATATGTATATTTAATTATAATTTTATGTATCTAATTTCCCACGACGAGCTGTAACATGTTTTATGATGTGTCAATGGAACATTATTTATTTAATCAGCCGGGAGCTGCGTTGTGATATAAGTATCAGAATTATGTTATTAAAGTAATTTATTGGGCCCTCCGAGGCAACATTTCGAAGGTCCGTTACTCTGCTCGATAAAACTCGATAAATCAGAAGTGCTGGGTGTTGAGGGTCGGGTGCGAACTATTCCCGCCTACTATACGACCGGGCCACGGAACAAACAAGTGAGGCCAATTAAAATGTCACTTGTATTGTGAAATATTACGGCGTAAATCATATAAAAGTCACGAAGGTGAAATTAGCTTCCATCAATATTAATGAGCAGCTTTTTTACGTACTAACGCTATTATTGCAAGGTGTCTGCGGCCCACGTGTACGGAATTGCTAACGCGTGACATCGTTCAAGCTCACACGTTCGCACGAACAATTACATTGAATTTTATTGACCGTGAATTTTCTAAAGTATGTGACCCAGAATGCCAAGTAAATTATGTCAAGCTCGGAAAATATTCTAGACTAAATGCTAAAGAGCTAGACGTACAAATGTTCGTGTGCAGTCTACATGTAATTATGAAATGGATAGTATCGACATCTTGAAATCGTTGCTGGCTAATTAAATCTGATGCGAGGAGACAACTCTTATATCAATTAAAATTACGATATCGAAGACACGGCATTTAGCAGATAATTGTAATTAAGTCGTAATTATTACACACACGCGAACATTAGTGTCTGTCCACTGTAGGCCAATAATCCGCTCCGTTTAGAAGTTATCCTGCCGCTTCGTGATCTTGAAATTAAACTGACCGAATAAAACGCACATTAGCAACTCACTACCGGATTAATGACCATAGTGTTTTCGTTCAAACTCATTATAACTGCGCATGCGCGTACGCAAAAAGCGGGGAGCGTTACCGCCACGAACCACTGTGCAAAAACTGTAACTACCGCACAAATGCAAATGTAGTAATTAGAATGAAGTACTAAAACTGAAATGTATCACTATCTTAGATTTATCTCGTAGGTTCACACAATTAATTACGGTGTAATTTCTCTAATTTCCATCTGATTAACCGATTTATTTCGTTTTATTTCTTGGGAAAGACTATTTTCTATACATATGTTCACATGTGTTATTTGCTATCAAGAGAGCAGAACTGTAGGCTTTATTCTAGGCTTGTTTTGTGGTAAAAACTAAAGTAACCAGGCTTGGTACGAGTTGGTTTTATATTTAAAGTAATCAAAACGAGAACGTGTTCAACGCTCTTATTGGTTGGTTCATAGGAGCCGGCCAATGAGAGCGCTGCATGCGTTCAACATACTCGTACTAAGGCCTCAGGTTCCCAGCGGTACTCCGTTGAATATTGTGATTCTGTGCATCTCCAGACCCTAATAAGCCATTGTTAAATATGTGTCGTTTTTCTGTTACAGATTGCCAGATAACGGAGGCCGAGGTGAGAGCTAGTTCACTACTTACTTCATTCAATGATAAAGTTTTCGGAATGAATTCAATGTGAATGCGTGTACACACATCGGTGGTAATGGTTCTGGTAGCTCTGCGATACTTTTTGTACAGAAACAGTTGTAAATGAGTGGCAAGATTAGAATATATGTAGAAACTGATAACATCTTTATGTTTTCATAGGTTGATAGACAAAAATGATCTGCTACGTATATTTTGTAGCGGTTAAATTCAATTAATTTTATTATTACTTTGTTAATCAAGGGATTGTGATGTAAACTGTTCTAATTAAGTGTTTAATGACACTTCAAAATAATTTTATTTTTATTGATACATTTTCTCTTTTGTCTATAGTTTACTATTTTGTCTATAGTCTTACTATAATTTTTTTTTATTTTATAAAAAATACGTTTAAAATGTATTCAATTAATTTGGAAGATTCGCGCGTAGCTCGTTGAGCTGGTTTAAATATTTAGGTAGTTAATTATGTTTAAAGTTGTCTAATATATTGACAGCAAGAAAGAGTTACATTTCTCAGTTCGACGTATGTTCAGATATTTCGCGTAGTGTTTCAACCGCAAATTACATTAAAATGCCATAGCGCATGCTCACACTGCCGACTGTGTAACAACACCACCAACCGATGCAACTAGTTTTTTTAATAGCATTACAGCATAGTACCAACCTAACGGTAATACATGGTGTTGGAGTCATGCAAGGAGGCGTGTCATCCACTCTTAATTTTGATAAATTACTTCTCACGAGAAACCGAAACTATCTAAAGTTGCACTCCACACTTAATAGTTATCTCGGATAATGTCAAAGTCAAAGTCAAAGTCAAAATCATTTATTTCAATTAGACCTGAGAGGCACTTTTGAACGTTACTCAAAAAAATTTAAAGTGAAGCTATTTGCTCATTCCAAGATGTAGATTCCTATGGAGAAGAACGAGCAAGAAACTCCATAGGTTATTCTTTTTCAATCAAACGTGTTCAATGTTCAATCAAAATGTGTTACAGAATTATTGACAAGACCATCAAATCCCTTAATAAATAAAATATATTAACATTTTCAGGCATTAGAACATTTTTGTATTTCACCAATTAAAAAAAAAGTACTCAATATCAAAAAAGGTTTAAGATTTTTAAAATGAGGTTTTAAATAAAGCGGCCTTAACACTGACAGTTTTTCGTAAAAAAATTATAGATGCCATTTATGTTTATTTTTCTATTTGTCTTTTTTTATTTAATGGCGACGTTACAGATTTTTCTTCTAAAACAGCCATATTTATTTTAGCCTAAAGAGGTTTAACAACTTAGTTTTGTGTAAAAATTGAAAACTTAACTAGATTCTTCTCTATGCTGAAGTTATGATGTCATTGCAAATTCGAATTAAAATTCCGTGAACGATATGGTTTGCAATTCCATGTTACATTGATTACATGAACTTTTAATACCAAGCTTTCACTGAATTATCAGTAGCTGCCAAACCGTTATTATCATTCCTTTTAAGTCAGAAACGTTCAATGAAACATTTAAGAAAGTGACAATAAACCATTATGTCACTTAAAAACCGCTGTTGATGCCAATTCAGTGCCATAAAGAGATGGCGACATAAACTCTTGGACCACTTTAATTTAATCCCTATTATAATGATTAACGAAGCTACATAACTTAATTAAATACTCATTGTTGATCTTTTCGTTACTAATTTTTTGTACCAATATTTTTACATGTCATTCTACGTACAAATAAATCGTGGCTTATCAGTATTATGCGGATTATATTTTTTATGGCAATGTCAAATCATAATACTACAGTTATAATCCGCGAATATATTGACCGTTGTGAACTCTGATTCGCGTAGGCTAAATAATAGCCTTGTTTATACGATCAATCTCGATATGATGTGAGACTTTGATCGCGCCATTTTTCTTATTAAACCTACACAACAGCACATCAAGTTACTCAAAGAGATATATTTCTGCAATGAAATATCAGGTGTGTTACCAAACGATAAAGTTAAAAATGGATTTTGGTAGTTTATAACTGTTTAGCTAGATTTGAAGCTGTCAGTTCTGACGTGTTAACTGTTCGTGTGGGGTAGCCTTTTCCTCTATTCTATCTTATTTATTCAAATCTTAGATGAATAATAATAGTGTGTTATTAATCGTTTTATTATAATTTCTGAGTCACATCGTTCGTTAAATTCCATTTAATAATTTAGAAGCCGCTGTTTATACGTCGGATAAGATTACGTCTTGATATAACGATATTAAATTCGAGTTATTATTAATGAATTTGTCATAATAATTTCTGCGGTCGCTTGTGGCATTAATGAGGTATATTTTAGAGTTTTGACAGGTACACTATATCTTAATAAATGTATGATTTATACTAGTGATATTGAGGCTTTATTAAATTGAATGCTATACTTACTTATGAAGTATTTAATGCTTTAACTGTGACTTTAACCCTTTAATTGGCAGAACAATCAAAACAATAAAATTGAAGTTTTAACAACGTGATTCGATTTCTAGCACTTCTTGGACATAGTAAAAAATAGAAATAAAATTCTGAACCTTTCAGGTTTCTGAAAACGATATGTGAAGTATACTGGACACTACCAAATACTTAGCAATGAACAGACTGAAATGTATGTAAGATAAATAATTATAATAATGGAAAAATAAATGAAAAATTGATTTTAAGTATTAATTAATATGTTTATTTTTTATGAAAATTTAAAAAACAATTTCTTTTTCCGGCGACAAAACATAGTCTTTGGTTACATTTAATACATATAACATTTGTTTTACCATCCTTACAGTAGCGGCATCTCCCATAACTACATGAATCGGGAAAATGGCCTACTTGATCATAGCGAATTTCTTCAATTGGTCTCGCTACTACAGGTTTCTTAATTTTTCTTTCTTCTTTTATATCTTCTGTAAAATCACTCCGTTCCTTAACTGGTTTTCCTTTTTTCAGAAGACTTTCATATATATCTATCCTGAACTCTTTCAACGATTTTTCCTTATTTTTATTTTGCCGATACAAAAGCCATGCATTATTGATGCATATATCAATCAACTGGGCAAAAATGGAAAGATACCATCGTCGTGTCTTTAGAGGAATCTTGTATAGGGATATTAGCATATCAGCCAAATCGACCCCACCCATGTTTTTATTATAGTTTTTGACTATCTTAGGACAGTCAACATCAACCTTTGCTTTATGTTCTTTGCTATAACGTTTTATTTTATCCACGGGGTGAGAATCGACACAGGAACTAATAAGTGTAACACATTTATTGTCTAACCATTTCACCACTGCCAGTTTATTTTGGTTACAAACTCCTTGCGCGAAACTGCCTCGTGGTTTCTTTTTAAGGTCTTTGTCAGAAGGAAGTACACTCTCGCAACCTCTTAGCCGGTTTCCTCTTATAGTACCAGTGCAAAATATTCCGTAATTTTCACGCAACATGTATACGAGCTCAGGTGAAGTAAAAAAATTATCACAGTATACATTGGCAGGTTTCTGGCGAATTGTTTTACACAAAGCAAGAACAACTAGCCCTCCTAAACCTATAGAAATCTCATCCTGTGTGAAAGTATAATTTCTAAATGTGTCCTCCCCTCCATATAAAATAAAGTCATAGATTAAGCCTGAAGCTCCCGCGCGAACGAAGTTTTTAAACCCCCACTTATTTGGTTTATTTTGAATATATTGTCTTCTATTTCCCGCCTTGGTCCCTTTATAGGGAATCATCATCTCATCTATACTGAAATTTTGTTCCTCGTGTATCTTCAGGCAGTTTTGCCTAATTTTTTCCACTACTGGCCGAACTTTGAAGTATCTATCACCGTCGTCCAAATTATTATCGATAAAATGTATGTAACGTCTAATTGTTTGATATCGCTTTAGTGGCATGAGATCGGCGATATTTGTAAATCTAAGTCTGCGGCTCCAATAATCAGTGTAGCTAGGCATTTGTACCACACCCATCAAAATTTGTATTGCAATAAAAGTTAGAAACTCTTCATGAGTTAGTTGTATGGATCTTCCTTTTACCTGAACAGAGTACAGATTCGATTGATCTACTATGTCTTTTATTATATTTGGTGAAAAAAAACGATAAAAGAACGAAAGAGGTTGTTGTTCGTCTTCACTCGGCATCAGCGGCGTAATTTCATCAATCTCAGCCCGATGAAAAAATAAATCCTTCTTCCACTTATAACTCAAAACAAATTTCTTAGTCGATTTGACTTTTTTTGAAATCACTTTCTTTTTCTGCGCTTTTTTACGTTTTCTAGTGGAACATGTATCAATGGATGGTTGGCCAATTTGCACTGAACCAAGTGATGGTAAAGAACTTATAGAAGGGATGGCATCGTAATTTGGTTCATTTTGTGATGGAAAAACATTTTGTAAAATTGGTGTGAGTGGAATTGAATTGTTATCTGTATTTTCATCTTCGGAAGATTCTAAAATATTCAAAGCTTCTAAGGCGGAATCGACTGAGATTAAGCTGCTATCATCGGAAGAATCATGGTTATTCAAAGTTTTATTTGTAAGTTCAATTTCTTCGGTAGACGAAGCGTCACTGGAATCGGAGCATGCATGTTCAGGCGGTATCAAAGCAACTAGTCTATGCGTGCGGGAGCGTATCAATCGCTAAAACAAAAGGAAAAAGCTCATTTGATACATGCAACCATCACCAAACCAAAATACTAATTAGTTGGCATTGTCCAACCCACTTCCCAAACAAAAACAGTGATAGCATTGTGAGCAATTGGCAGTGTGAAGTATACTGGACAACTAGTTTTAAGTGCAATTTACAACGTTATTGATGCAGTACTGAGTTATTATTTGATACCATATAATAAACCGTCACTTTGAAATTATATATAATGCATAGCGAACCCATGTAAACCTTTCTATATATGAAAAAACATTGAAAAACTTACCTGTGTTGCATTAACCGACCGTT